TTGATAAATGATCTATAACAAGAAAAAATGCTGTGTGTCCTCTTCTGGTTTCGGGTAATTTTGTTATTAAATCAATACCTACCATGTCCCATTTTCTTTGTGGTATCGGTAATGGCCTTGCCAGTCCTCCAGGTGCTTGGGTCGAACTTTTAGCAACCTGGCAAGTTGCGCAGCTACTGACGTATTTCTTGATGTCTTCATACATTCTTGGCCAGTAATAATGTCGTGCTATTGAACTATGTACCTTATCTGTACCTTGATGTCCAGCTACCGGTGCGTCGTGAAAATCATGTAAAATTATTTCTCTTGTTTCTCCTTTTGGTAATACTAATCTTTCTTCGTCAATATCTCCTGGTTGTGTGCTAAATGAGAGCAAATCTCCTTTCATTTTGTAAGTGTTATCCGAGCTAAATTCTTGATTTTGAACATTTTCTATTATTTCTCGAATCTTTTCGTCTTTTTCATAGTCTCTTCTTAGTTTTTTCTGGAACCCGTCTTCAATTCTACTTATATCCAACCTGTTGATTTCTGCTATTCTTGATAACGCATCTGCTGCTTTATTGGTTTTCCCTGGCTTGTATACTACCTCTATGTCAAATTCTGCCCATATCTCCGACCATTTAGCTATCCTTGACGAAAACTCTGCTTTTCCAAATGTTTCGATAGTTTTGTGATCTGTGATAACTTTGATGCTCCTTCCCAGCAAGTAATGTTTCCACTTCGTAATGGCTACTATGATTGCGTATAACTCCTTGTCCCTGATACTCCAATTTAATTGTGATCCATTTAATTTCTGAGATAAATATGCTACTGGTCTTGTTTCCCCATCTTCTTCCTGTTCCAACACTGCTCCCACTGCTGAACCTGATGCATCAGTTGTTACTATAAACCTTCCAGTTCTTGTTGGAATTTTGAGAACTGGTGCTGATGCTAGCTTTTCCTTCAGTAGATCGAAACTCCTTTGTTGTTCCTCTCCCCAGGTGAACTTCTTGTTTTTCTTTGTTAACTCGGTCAATGGTAGGGATATTTGGCTAAGACCCTCTATGAATTTCCTGTAGTATTGAACAAATCCCATAAAGGACTGTATCTCTGGTACACTGTTCAACTTAGGCCACTGCAGCACAACTTTAACTTTATCGTCTCTCGGTTGTACTCCGTGCTGATCGATTACGTAACCCAAGAACTCTACCTGCTTCATTGCAAACTCGCATTTTGATAATTTACCATATAACCCGTTCTTCTTCAACTTCATCAATACCGCGTCGAGGTGTTTTAGGTGCTCTTTGTAACAATACCGATTATAG